GGCTTCTCCATACAGTTCTTGTGACAATGAAGTGAGATGTACCTAACGAGCTTAGCATGGTGCCTGGCATAAAATGTCAGCTTTTTATTTGATAATCATTTACTAAGCATTAATTGTGTTCTGAACATGATGCTATGCTCTGGGGCTACTCGTCCAAATAAAAACTGCCATTTAGTGACTTTTGGACGAGGTATGTCAAATTCTTCTCATAGTAACTTGAAGACATGCATTATTTTCAGCATTTTTATAAATGAAGAAATTGAGTTCAGGGAAGCAAAGCTCGAGGTTACACATTTAGTAAGTAGCATAGCTGTGATTTCAACACCTGATTCCAAAATCCTACAATCATTCCTCCATGCCAGAATAAAACACATGTCCTGTTCACAATCTAGAGGGAAAACATGTATTAAACAACTTGTTGCAGTCTGACACGTATAGTAATAACATCAGTTGAACACTCTATGTACTATGCACTGTTTTCATTCTATTTGTTTAACAGCTCTGGGAGGTAGGTGCTATTATTCCCATTTTACAGATGGGTAAACATAGGAACAGACAGGTTACAGTGCTTGCAAATATAGTCCACTACATACATATGCATGACCACTGCACTCTAGTGCCATTCTGGAGAGCTGGCAACATGTGAACACTGTGCTCTGGGTGTTCTAAGGAGTGACAATAACTCTGCTTGTGAAAATAGATGAGATTTCATAAATGAGATGGTGTATCAGCTGGAACCTGCAAGTAAGAATCCACTAGGCTGAGAAAGGGAGAAGGAAGGGGAAAAGAGGCAGAGGAAATAGTGCACGCAAGGGCCCATTCTCCGCACGGTCAAACTCTTCTATCCTTGAAGTACAACAGCAGTCTGCTTTCACTCTACCTTCCTTCCTCTGTTTAAAACAGAGTTGCATACTGAATTTTCTGAAGTAGAGTTCTGATCACTTATCTCCCTGGACTCCAACCTTCAAATTTCTCCCTTTCTCCAGAGTAGTCTAAATTACGTAGCCAGCAAGCCACCATCCTTTAAGTCTCGACCTGTCTTTCAGATTTCCTACCACCCCCTTTCTTTAACACTAACGACAGTCCTCAAACTTTGGTATGAATCAGAATCATCCTTGGGGCATTTATTAAAAATATACAAGCCTGAACTTGCTGCACTGATGGACAGGGACTGCATTGGGATATGGGTGGGGACTTGATAATATGGGTAAAGGTGGTAACCACATTGTTTTTTCGTGTGAAACCTTCGTAAGAGTGCATATCAATCATACCTTAATAAAAAATTTTAAAAAATAAAAATATACAAGCCTAGGATCCAGCCCCAGAACAGCTAATTCAGTAAGGATGGATGGGTTGTGCCCCGGGCATTTTAGGGTTTTTGCTGTTCTTGCTGTTGGACGACATCTATGTTAATTTTCCTCCTGGTGTTTAGCTCACTGAATTCTGAGAAACACTACACTGTTTCCATATTTCCTAAATTTGGTAACCTCCCCGAGTGCTTTCTCATTTAATTCGGGAGTTAAATTATTCCTTCTCCCAGAAGCTTCTAATTCTCAAATCCCACCCATTTTTGAAGACCCAGATCAAATGCCACCTTTCCCAGGAAGTCCTTCCTACTTTCTTTGACACGTCTTTGATATTTCGCTGCACTTGTCTTGTGGCTCCTCTTGCTTATTTCGGAAGAGCCCAAGCGCCCGGCCTGCCAATGGGCCCTTTCTGGACGGAGAGAGACACATTCATCAGAGTGCCCTGCAACTCCAGCCCTCAGGCAGGCATGGGCACAAGCGCAAAAATCCCTGGGCACAACTGCCTCAGATGCCCTTCCCCAGTTGAGAAACAAGGCACAGGCAAAACCACTACGGATAACAGTCGTGCCGAGGTCCAAGTGCGTGGACTAAAGGGGCGAAGGAGCACTTCTCAAAGCCTGGAAACCCACTGTCCTAACTGAGGATGGAGCCCACCACGCGAAAGAGGGATGAAACAGACGCTTCCGGCACCCTGCCGGCTCCATCGCTGACGTACGCCGTGCTCTCCGATTGGCTGTTCCTGCATCAGCCTCGCCCCTTGCCCACGTGACGTCTGGCCGCCCCGGGAATAGGTGTCGCGACGACAACTCCGGCGGAGATTCGCCGCTGGGCTGCTCGGGGGAGGGGCCGTGGCCTGGGAAAGCAGGACGCCAGTTTGTCCGGGGACCGGGAACCCGAGAGTAGGCTGACCCTCGCCTGCTCGGGGCCAAGCCTCCGCGGAGTCTAGGGGGTTGGAGTTTCAGGAGTTCGTGAAGCGGTCTGCGGACTGCGGACTCCGGCGTCGGTCTTTGATTTGAGCGCTGGTTCTGTCCTTATTCGTATTTGCCCGCAAGGACGGCTACTCTCAGTCTTCCCTGAGGTTGGTGGGGTTTGGACTTCATCACTAGTTTTTCAAGACTTCCCTATGTGTGAGCTCTGGTCGTCCTGCTCAGGGCGCGGTACAGAGCGCCGTGTGGTAGAAGCTGAGGGTTGAAGGCCTTACTTAAGTGAAATGTTGGAGGTAAGTTGACTTTATAAATTGTGCTGATGCTCTTATAACCTAGGGGCTTAGGATTTAGTAGGAAGTGTCGCGTGTTGACTCAATTAAGAGCTCATTTATTCAGCCTCATCCTATTCTGAGTGTAATGGATACAAAGGCCAGTAAGACGCAATCCTTGTTCTTTAGTAACTCAGGGTCCGGTAGGGAATACGAGGAGGTGGAGGCGAATAGTTGGCGCCTGACGGTGGGGGAAAGTGCTGTGGGAGTCAGAGGAGAGGATGACCGGGAGAGTTAGGGACCACTTAACAGAGAAGGTTAACTATTTGAGTAAGCTTTTAATTAGGTGTTCTCCAGATTGAAAGGGGTGGGGAAGACACTCCAGATAGAGCAGGTGTACTGAGGAGAGAACTAGAGGAGAGAACTAGAAAATGTATGACTAGAACACACAACACTCTGCTCACAAGTTCCATATTTTTGACAAAGTTATTTAAGTTCCCTCAGCCTCTCTTTTCTCATTTTTAACGTGTATGTGCTTCACCTGTAGAGATGATGAGTTACAAGTCTCAAGCATAGCCCCTGTAAAGCAGGCACTTTGTTGCCCAGTGTTTATGGAGCTTGGTTGCTGAATGGTGAACACAGACCAACATAGGTCGGTTTTCAACTATGAGGTATCAATCTGTTGATGTTTACAGATGGCTGAAGGAAGCATATGCTGTCTCCAGAATTACTGATACTGACAATACCCTGCTGAAAGGGGGGAGGGGTGACATTGTGACCCCAGTACTTTTCACTATCAGCAGTAATATACTACCAGAAGGTATCATTTAGAATAAATGAAATGCAGTCAGTCAGCTTTGTCATTCAGAAATGGATTATCCAGGTTATGGATTATCAAGGCTTTGCATTGCCTCCTTTATGTGGCCCAACGACCTGGAGAGAGATGAAATTAAACTGTATAATTAGCTGATAGTGGAAAAATGTAAATCCAGTAATCAGAACTCAGTTCTCTTTCCAGCTTTGCTGTTAATTTTGATATGGGGCCTTGGCAAATCATAGCCTCCCTGGTCTTGAACTCTTTAAGATTGATGATTCCCAGTATAAGATTTTTGTGACTATACTTTTAATCTTTGTTGGAAGAACTGTAAATCAAATTGTATATTAAATGAACTGGAGTTTGCTTTATAAAGAAATGTAGTAGAAAATCTTTTCTAAAGCTTTTGCTTGAGAACTAGACTAAATCACTTCACAAACATCCCCTAGATTTTATCGTGCATGGTGTTTGGGCTCATTAAAAAACATGTTTTTGAACTATAAATGTTTCTTCAGTCTTCTGTTTCAAAACAAGTCCCCCCAAAACAAAACTTGTTCGTTTGCATTTTTGTACAGCAGACTTGCTTAAAGCAAAGCATAATCAAAGATAAAATATTTATTGAAAGCCCATGTTGAAATTTACCTAAAAGGCAGCTTTTTTTTTTTCATAGGCAAACCTAAGTTTTCTTGGTTCTGAAAATAGGATGTTGGGTGCTTCTTAGATAATATAGGGAGGCGCAATGCAGTGATGGGACGATGAGTGAAGTATAGTCTGACCTGGTATTGCCATTGCTTAAGTGTTGGCTTTGACCAGGGCGTGATTCCTTAATCTTCTCTCTGAGCTGATTCCGGTTGTGGTTTTTCTACAACGCTATGCTTTAGCCTATTTGGATACTGGTTTTATTAGATATAAGTGTTTCTTTAATATTCTCTTAAATTTCTGATACTTTCATGTTTTCCTCTTAGGTTGAGGTGACGAATCTGGCTTTGACATCTTCCTGGAGGTCTACGTTATTTTTATCCTAAATCTGATTCAGTTCCCTTACTGATTTATTATTACATTAAAAATGTTTGTTTAATCAATATGGTATCGGTTTTGGTAAAACCTTGCAAGAAGTTTTGCAAATATCTTCTTATGGTACATAAAAGTGTTATTACTTAAAAACCCCTAAGGTTATTCCACTTCAAAATTTAGTTTATCACCTTTTTTGCTATCAGAATGTGCTCTGAAATGCTAAAATGAGTTAGGATATTGGAAATCTATCTCAGCAGAGGCACTTAAAAATTATTTTCATCTTTCCTCTTCTATAGTAATCATTTTTTTCTTTTTACCTGTTGACCCAGTGGCATGACTTTTCTACACAGGCAACTTAAGTGTTTGTATTGTTCTTGATACTTCCTGCTGAAGTAGAGAGTTTTCCCCCCAAACTGTGGATTAGCAAAAAAGCCCAAATGTTAATACAAAAATGCCTCAGAAAGTCAAAGGTGATCTGAACAAAATATTTAAACACCTCAAGTAATCTCTAAATTTCTAGTCATTAAAATGGAACAGCTCTTTGCAAAAAACATTTATTCTTAAAATTTACTTAAGCATTTCATAGAAACTTTAGTAGCAGCCAGAATAATTCATGCTGGCCTAGAAAATTTAATATTAAGCAGAAAGAGCTTATTAAAAGAACTTTTTATACAGTCCAAGTTAGACCCATATTTTATTTCATCTATTCATTGCTTATTAGCTTTGCTTGCACACTGAAATCTTCACAGTACTCTTTATATACACTCATCCCCTCTTCCTTTAACCAGTTTTCCAAGAAAGATAGATATGGCTCACAAAGAAATTTTCAAACGTTGATAAACTACAGCAGATGTTACTTAACAAATGAGTCACAGGATATAGAAGGTGCCGTTTTTCTAAAGTGTTTTCAAGAATTTCTGTAAAGAGCCCATGTTTCACATTCTTTGCAAATGGATAAAACCTCTTCTGCATGTACATAAACCTCTTATTCATAGACTTTCTTTTCTAAAGAAAAGGCTTGGTTCCCCTTCACCACCCACTTTTTGAGGACTAACGGGTTTTTCCTGAAAACTTCTGTACCTCTTGTTCTTTAAGGAAAAGCTTCTATACTGTCTTTTTTAAATTGCTCACCCCAACTAGTGTAGTTATTGTGTAGAAAGATGTTGCAGAACTATGGACTATTCTCTCTGCTGCATTTCTGTAACTCCTCTTTTATCCACTCCCTCTACACTGACCCTCACATCCCCTTTCAATCCTGATTCCCTTACTCTAACCAGCTTGGTCAGCTCTAAGTAGGGGTCTAGAGAGCAGGCTAAAAGGTTAAGATCAATGGGTTTATCCTTTTAAAGAAGTCCATATAGTTGTCTAAAGTTCATATAATTATGAATTGAGGCTGAAAAGTATCAAACAACACCAAGTACGGTGCTGCAAACCAGCCCTGTGGCCTTAAATGCACTAATTTTGTTGTGAGGTAAAAAGCTAATCATTTTCAGTTCTCAGGGGAGTATAGTTTAATTAGATGTTGTACTTCTGTTGGATAACCTGTGATGGGACAAGCTTGGTGACTCCTCACGTAATTAAACACACAACTGTAACAGAATACATAGCCAGAGGTGGCAAGAACAGTATCATTCACCCGGGTTTTACGACACAGTGGGCACACAGTCTTCGTTTTGGGTAACAGGGGAGAATCAGAATTGTAATCTAGGTGTACAGGTGGTGGTGGAGTAGGCAGGGCAGTCAGTGATTTGATGGTTTCTTGATTTTCAAATGAGTACCACCACTCAAGGAACTGTAGGAAGAACACCCCCACAGAAAGGCCAGTAGACAGGGATAAGGCAATACCTCCCACAGCTTTCTTCAGAGCTGACTTTATCTTCTCATTAACACTGTTAGGGGAATAGAACAAGGGGGCAAAAGGAGAAACTGTTTACTCAGTTATGATCACCAAGTGACTAATATAAATGTAGTTCTTCATTTTATACTTTTCATCTGTCACTGATTCAATTTGAGGACTGAATAGTTGCTAGATTGGCATTGTCTCATCTCCTTAAGGATCTATTCTAAAGGATTTTCTCTTTCTGACAAGTATTTTAGGAGTATAGGAGCTAAGCTTTGTTTTAATGTTTTAGGGTTTTGTTTTGTGTTTCAAGAAAGAAAATGGTGAAACATTGATTATATAGACTTTTTTTGGGTGAAAGATAGTATATTCAGGAAAAAAAATTCATTTAACAAAAAAATGACTTAGCAGTATTGAGGAATATATATCTGAACTTGTAGGTAGAACACAAACACTAACCAGACTGCATTGTGGTTAAGGGCAGTCTTGAGAATTATGTTGATCTGGCTTGAATCTCAGCTCTGCCACCTAGCTTTGTGGCCTTAGCAAGGTGCTTAACTGTTACGTATTAGTTTCCTCAACTATTAAATGGGATTAATGAATTTATTTCATTGGATTGTGATGAGGATTGAGATAATGTATGTAAAGCAAATACCTACCACAGGGCTGGCACAAAGCAAGTGTTGAAAAACTGTAGCTAGTATGATGAGGAAGGTTGCCAGGATGGCAATCCTTGTGTAATGGACACAATAATTTTTCTATGAAATTCCTCATATGATATATGAACTACTTAAAGAGGACTGGGGGAGGTGAATTTCATAAAATTAGTGTAAGATTTTGGAATTTATTGGTCAAATAGTTTGGGGAAATGCTAAGGCCTTACCTCCTGGCTGGTTGCTGCATCATGCTGGCTTTAGCTGGTTGGTGCTCCAGAGCTTGTACATCCTGAACTGTAAGTCGACCTAGCCGAACTTCAGCCAGACTCAGCAGTGGTGAGTGATGTTGTGCCTTTCCTAGGATGTATCGAAGTTGTTGTACAAGAAACCAGCCTTCCCAGGCCATGTTAACAAATGGGTAGGCTGCCAGAAAGGCTCTGTAAAATTGCTTCCAATGGGAGGAAGGGGGATGGATAGAATATTCATCTTCTTCTCTCAGGCTAGAAACCAGCTTCTCCAGCTTCACTTTCAGATAAGGAAGAAGAACCAGGAACATAATTGACTTCCAAAGCTGCTGCTTAGGGAGACCAGCACTGGCCAGTCTCTGAAGCTTGTGTGTATCCCCCATCACAATCCGTTTTAAGCCATAAAAATTTTCAGAAAATGAGGCACTGGTTTTAGTCAGATAATGCTGCTGGAGCAGAAGATCTAGTAGGGTAAAGATTTCATCAAACCACCTCCAAAAGAAGCCATAGTGGGCAGGATTTGATTCTGCAAGAACCTAAGGTAAGGTAAGTTAATAAATGAAATTCATTCCATTTCAGTTACTATGTCTTGTATTAACGATTCTTTTTTTCCCCCTTAAAATCCTACCCTCTGGGTTTTAAACAAGTCAATTCTTTTGGGGTCTCCCCTAGCGTCCCTGAAGTGCTGGGTTTTCAGTACAGGCTTTACAGTTAACAGGGACTCAATACTCGTTAAATCATAGAACATGAATTACATACTAATTGGTAGTCTCAACACCTAGGCTATCAAACTCAAAACTCAAATTATTATCTTTTACCCAGCCATCCCTAAAACCTTCCAGAGGATTACTACCTTACCTTGACCACATGCTGAAGAGCAGGTCTCACTGCCGTCATTAAACTGTCCTGTGCTACCACCTCAAAGATGGACGGCTGGTCATCAACCACAGACGCAGTGATGTGAGCCCCATACTCAGCCATAATTTCCTCTGGGTCTTACTTTTCCCCCAAACTCTCCAGTAAGTATGAACTTGCTTTGGGTATCAAATGGGTGCTCAGTCTTAAAAGTAATTTTTCTGCCGGATACCCTCAAGTACGGAACTCCTCTATTTAAGGGAACCGGGGGAAAATACTTCTGGAGGCGGAGGGGAGAAGTCTCAGGAGGGTAAGAACCATTAACGCAGAAGTGAGTGGAAGTGGTGCGTGGGGAAGAGATGACTTGTCAATGCCGCACCTCACGGCACAGTGCGTGACTCGGGGGCCCAGATGCGGGCGAGGGAGCCCCGTCCTCCGTAGCTGCAGCCCTGGAGCTGCGAATCAGGTCCTCCCGAGTGAGGGCTCAAAAGCCAGCCCCCTCTGACGATCAGAAGTGCCAGTAAGGGCCCGGTACGCGAGGGCCGGCTCCAGCTGTTGGCTGTAAAGTATCCCCGCCGCGCCCGTCCTCGCACGCTGACCCCAGGCGAGGGGCGAAGGGCTCACGGCGCCGCGTTTGGAGGGACGTCTTCGCTTTAGGACAGAAGCCGCACTGGGAAACTGGAACGGCCCGGCGGCGACAGAGGAAGAGAGGCGCTCTAGCCCTGTACGCGGCCCCGAAACCGGAACTAGGGAACTCTATGGCACCATCCGGGCTTCCTTTTCTTCCTCTGCTGGCCGTTAAGGCACGTTGGCGGCGGGCCGGGCTCGTCTGGCGAGGCGTTGTTTCCTCGCTTGGGCTGGTGTTGCATCGCAACCGCTGCGGAAAGCCCCGCCTCTGAGTCTCTTCCGGCAGAGGTCTTTTTGACGGGGTGTTTGGGAGTGCGGCGCCGGAGTGTGGCTCCTGGAGCCCCCGCTCGGGCCTGCTGCTGCGGCCTGTGTTCCTGCGCGCGATGGTGTTAGGAGCGGAGGAATGCAAGGAAACACGGAGAGGGAAGGCTTCCTCTGCGCGCTGCGCAGTTGTGGTTACTTTATATTTGGCCGCCTTCCCAGAAGGATTTGAAGCAATTTAGCCGCATAGAAGCCTTGGCTTAATTGCCTCCAATTATAAAGATGATTAGAATGAAAAAGGTTCTTGCTGTTACTCTTCATTCAAGCTGGGGGCCTAACTGCTTACAACAGTTCAGTAAATGACAATATCTTTATAAGCAGAATTGAAACATTTATCTTTCTACCTGACCCCTCCGGAATTTAAAAACTTTCAGTAAGTATTTTTGTTTTATCGCAGTATGTTCATTTGCAGAAGCTCAGTAAGAATCTGCTTTCCTTGTAACAAGACCAATTATAAAAACACTGATTATATTACCAAGGCTTTGACTGAGAGACACGTGCATAAACTCAGATATTAACAGCTTTAAGAAACTGAGATTGACTTTATAGAGCCAATGAAGCCCCTTGGAAGAATTGGCCTGGTACATTGCTTACAGGGTTCCCAGCAGCCTTACCAGGTGAGTAAAGGAGGTCCCCTCCTGGCAGGTGCAGAAACCTCAAAATGTCTTGGGGACCTCGAGAAGAGAGGAATTCACCCAAATCGACAGGTAATGCAGGCAAAACCTGATGGCAAGTTTGTCTTGGCTTTCTGGCCTCGAGAGGCCTTTAAGAGTGCAATAAGTTCCAGCAAAGCACATTTAAAAGAGCCTATGTAATCAGTTGCTCTTCTTGCTGCACATATGCAAATAACCAAGCCAAATGTTAATTATTTTCTTTATCTGGTTACTTCTAATAAAAATGAGGGTGATTTTAGAGAAAACTATTGTTTCAATAATGGCGCCTTATCTATACTAAATCCTAATACTAGTCATTGGGACATAGACGAGATCCAGAATTCTAGTTTCCCCAAAATATCTAGCTATGATCCTCCAAATGTTTGTTTTTTACTATCATTTCAATTGGAATCTTACTATATTTAGCCATGCATTCTTTAATCTCATTGTCAAGTTTGTTCTTCCAGAATGGAAAATCCAACTCCAGATATTGCAACTTAACCTCATAATACGATTTGTTCTATTTTGCCTAGAACCATAAAGCTGCAAATAGTAATAGAAATGGAACCATAATAAAAGTGCCTATCTTCCGAGGCCCTCTCAATTGACCAGTGATGGGAGACCTAACTGTACCCCTTACTGCGCCCCCTGTCAGTATGAAGCAACCAGAGCAGTTGTCACCCCCTTTCCCTAGCAGCAGCTAGGGTCTCCATCTGTAGAGGGGGTAATGAGACAGGAACCGTGGGTGTACTCAGAGTAGGGTGAGGGGTTCCTGGAAAAAGCAAGGCAGGAAGGATTCCACCTTAAAGATAAGATTGCATTTTAATATCCAGGAAGTTAAGAAGTTGGAAATTCTTAACTTAATCTTTAGCAAACAATACCTCAGCCCACCTTGGGGGCTGGGCAGGCAGCCTTGTCTGATATGCTCCTGCACCAAGACACTGGTATCTCAGAAATCAGAGCAGGAAGTTGCTTGTGTTAAGTTAATACTAAATATTCAGGGACCATTTAACAAGTCCACACCCCTAAGCCTTTTTTTTCACCTTCCCCCAAATCCTTAAGTGCCTGTAAAACCCCTAGACAACGCACCGCTACCTATGCTCTCTTGTCCCCACCTGAGCCAGGAGCTCTGTCCTCTCACTGTATCTCAGTAAAAGCCTCTCCCTGGCTCTCCTGCCCTTGGGTGTTTGCTAAGTTCATTCTTCCACTCCACAAACAAGAACCCCCGGCATCATCTTTGGGGGCTCGTTTGGCATAGATTTGGAGGTGAGTATTGGCATCCAACCTGCCTTTTCTTTCACTGTCCTTATAGAAGGAAGCCGTCAATGGCACACAACATCGGACGCTCGTCAGCAACTTAAATGGGACTAGCCCGGCTGCCGATCTCAAAGTCTGGAGCGACAGGTTCCCCTGCGTCTCCCTTGGGAGCTGGGAAAGAACTGAGTGGAGGCCAGGATTCCTTTTCAGAGGCATCTCCTTGAATGCAAGGGACTGAGGAAGGCCGTGGATAACTGCGAGGGTCTAGGCTGAGGCTACACTTCAGCGGCTTCTCATAGGTCCACGTGTCTGGAATCAGATCCCGACCACCCAACTGGTATAGGAGGAAGGCGCTGTATTGGAAAGTGCTATCTTTCTTGGGTACTGAAGCTGTGAAAATAAGTGGAAGGAGTGCAGGATGAAAACCATTCAAAGGAACAGGCAAGTGTGTGAGATTTCTCATAAAGGAGCTTCTGTCTCTGTTACTCCTCTCCCACTATATATCTGAACTTTTTCTGGAGGTCTTTTTTTTTTTTTTTTTT